ACATGGTTTTCAATGACATGAACTCAGTGAAAAAAGGCAGGTGATGAGCAAAACACTGAAACGGCTGAAGCCCAAATTAAGGGTTGCTGAATAGGGATATTAGCATTAACAGCCCTGCTTTTTACATTTCAATTCCTACACACCTCAGAAGAACTGGCAGATTTGACTGACATTTGGGGGGAACAAAAGGTTCTGGAGCAGCTGGAAAATCATTTAAATAAGCCAGTCTTATGGCCATTGCCCAGGAAATGAAGGTATGTGGTTACAACCCAGACTGGACACTACTGCAGCAAGATGAAGGCCCTGAAATGTGCTTTCAATTGGGCCAAGAACCAAAATTCTTGTTCAGGGCACGCCACACAATAGCCTCTTTCTAAGAGCAGCTGTCCTTAGTCTCACAAAGGATGTAGGTGACACTTACCTCTGGTCCTTTGGGATGATGGGAATATAGGAGGCCAGTGTCACCTAGTCCACAAGAGTCCACAGACTGTCCTACCACTACGATAGGCAGTGTGATATGCACTGCACAGCCTTCAGGAAATCAGTCAGAGGTAGCGGATGAGTGCTCACAGCAGCTAGAGGACAGGGACAGACAAGACAAAATTGTCTTGCCCATGACTCCCACTCTCCCCAATGCCTTGCCTACATAAACCACATCTAGCTAGGAAGCTAGAGCTAGGAAGATGCATCAGATTCTATGATGATACTGTTCTCGGAATTGTGGGACACACCAGAAATTCCAGAGACCCAAAGATAAGTGTTGGTGCTGGAGACACCTGAGGATCTGTGCTTGGAGACTTGTAAGTTATGGGGAAGGGGCATTAAATCAGTTTGGGTGACTATGGCTTAAGTGGATCAGAGAGGAAGAAGAGCCTATGATGGGTGATGGCGTTTTATTCGTTAGTGCTGTTGCTTCTGTAGGAAACTGGGGAATAGGCATTGTGTTCCTGCATTATTTCAGTTCTACTTCAGTTACTGGCAATAAATGCTTTTGTGAAATTAAAGTGGATTTTCATCTGCGTCTGTCTGCGGTAATGGGAAGGGTGGTAGAAACGTAGGTTGTTGGGGGCAGCAGGGGAGGTAAGTCAAACCAAAGAAAACCAGACTTGTTTCAGACACATTACACTAATGAAAGAAGACACGCCCACCTCTGAACTTTACTCTCTTACACAAAGGGAACATGAAGTAAAGAATCGAACAAAGCAAATAGAAAACTTTATTTACAAACCAAATGTTAAACATAATTAAACAAACCACAGAACAGATTTTATAAGATAACAATGCATAATTACTAAAACAGAGGAATTTCTTTTTACTACCGTAATGATGCATGATTCATGAAAAAAAAATCAATCTAAGCAATAATCATTTCTAACTAAAAGACCTTGGCTCTAAGGTGGACTTTCTGAGCTTGACTGCAAACTGGTGGATGGCGGAGTGCTCCCAGGCAAGAGCAGGGCTGACAACCAGTAGGCATAGAATCACTGCAAGGAGCCCAGCAATTATTTGCTGGTCCTCCAGCATCTGGGGATGCCTCCTGGACTTGGAGCGATTCCTGTTGCACTGGATAATCATGAATCTGCCTATGGCCAGATGGATCCATCTCACCATCTCATGTAGCCAATGCTCACATGACCTGAGGGTGTTCACGATCCTGTCCGTGCATGCATTGGTGGCAGCCTACCTTGGTAGCCTGTGTCTTCTCAGAGGCGACATTACAAGTGGAGCTGAAAATCAAGAAATGCAGGAAATAGAGTGAAATAAGGATGCTTGGCACTCTAAAAAGACACGCTCGGTGAATCTTGTCAGTGGATAAGAAGCAGTCAGCCCAAAATGACTAAGAAGGGCTGCCTGGCCCTTAGTTGCTGCAAACAAGTTCCCGCCCACTTTGGCCACCGATGTGCTTCCCTGCTGTGTGTTGCCCTGTACCTCCCTGGAATGCCCACTAACACCAGGGACTTTAAAGCATTGTCCTATGCCATCTCCCGCCCCCCGCTTCACCTCACAGACAAGCCTAATCACAGCTGCCAGTTCAGGTGACAGGTGACCTAAAGGATCCCTGGAGCTTCACATACCGGATAAGAAGATTGAGCTCCACCGTCTATCCTCCTCCTTGGAAGTGGCAGGTGACATGACCAGTATCCTGTCACTATCTTCTTTGCTCGAAGCCTCATGATTCACAGTAGTGGTTGGCGATGTCTCAGCAGGCAAAAATGCCCTTGAGTCCTCTGTCCCTGTGTGTTCACAGTGATCCTATTCCCCCGTTAGCAGATGGAGGTATCTGTAATGGGCCATGTCATGCAGTGGGTTGCCCTGCCACTGTCCTCTGGTGACATCCCTGCAGAAAGTGGCCTGCAGCATCTTTGCCTTGACATAGCACTGGACTGCTGTCCTGTTGTGCCCCCCCTCGCCCATTCTCCTGGCAACATTAAGCTAGATATGCCAGTTGGCCTACAGGCTACAGATGAGTTGGTGCACAATCTCAGGGTCCCCCAGCATCTGCACCAGGTTCTTTGTTTTGGTGATGGTCCAATTAGACCTAGATCTATGCACCCCAATCCACTCCATTCTCCTCCAAATGTCTGACATCTTGGATCAATAAGGGGTACTCCAGGGAGCTGTGCACTCAATTTATAGGTCTTGAGATGAAAGGACCAAGGGAAGTTCACCCCCCTCCCACCCTGTTGTTACTGGATAATGTTTGGACATCAGACATGCTGGTACCAGGCAGGGTCAAGGCAGGGAGAGGGGCTCTGCACCAGTGGCAACTCTGTATCTTATGGGCATACTTATTCTGAACATCTTTTAGCCTGGTAATTCTTTTAGCCCTGTGTATGCAATAGCAGGCTACTCAATGAGCCACGTACTGAGTTAGGCCCTTGATGGGCACCCACAGGCTCCCTGTCAGGGCATGGCACAACAGCAGGCTACCCAATCACCCATGTGTCAAGACACCACTCTTAGCAGGACATGGTCTGAACTGCTGAGCAGTTCAGACATAGCCGGTGAGGGAAAGAATGCTGACAGAACTCACCCGCTATTCATAATGTAGGCACGCTTAATGCTCATGCAGGCTAACAGAGCTCCACTTGTCAGATCTACATAAAACCAGCAAGCAGAATAATGGCATTAGGAGGACAATTGCACCACAGCCAGCTGAAAAGGGATGTTCTTAGAGATGCAGGGTGGAGTGGCACGGGGTTTCCTCATGGCTGTTGCCGGGTGAAGTCTGGGGACAGAGACAGTCAGTTGCACAAGGACCAATGTCATGCGTTTTGCCTGTCAGCAACTAGAGGTGCAGGGCCCCAGAACGCAGAAGCCCCTGTACCTATCTCCTTGAAAGCTGGCAGATTTCATGGCCTCAGCAGGGGCTACCAGGCCTGCAGCTTTCATCCTGTTGTACCTTAACACACACAGTGTCACCCATGTCATGAGTTTTGCTTGTCCACAGTTTGAGATACAGTTTCCCCCAAACCTCTGCACCTATCTCCTTGAAACTTGGCAGGCTTTGTGGCCTCCACAGGGGCTAGCATGCCTGCAGTTTTAACCCTGCTGAGGCTTATCTCATACACATGACATGAGTTTTGCTTTCAAGAATTTGGGGTGCAGTTTCCCCCAAGCCCCTGCTCTTATCTTCTTGAAACTTGGCAGGCTTTGTGGCCTCAGTAAAAGCTACCATCCCTGCAGTTTTCACCCCCCCCGTGCCTTAACACACGCACAGTGTCACTTGTGTCATGAGTTTTGCTTGTCAGCAGTTTGAGGGGCAGTTTCCCAGAAATACCTGCACCTATCTCCTTGAAACTTGGCAGGCTTTGTGGCCTCAGTAAAAGCTACCATCCCTGCAGTTTTCACCCCCCCCGTGCCTTAACACACGCACAGTGTCACTTGTGTCATGAGTTTTGCTTGTCAGCAGTTTGAGGGGCAGTTTCCCAGAAAACCCTGCACCTGTCACCTTGAACCTGGCACGCATCATGCTCTCATCTATTAAATAATAGATATTTAATTGAATCCCCATTATACCCTATGGCCAAATCTCCGAATCACTGAATCTTTTCCAAATCTATTTGGAAGCTCCAAATCGATTTGGAAAGCCTAAAGCTTCCAGTGATTTGATTCGGATTTGTAGATTCGTCCTCTGAATCATCTGAATCATCTCCGAATCCAAATTGTGATCTGAAGCTTTGCACAGCCCTATCAGACTCTAAGCTTGCTAACCTATTTAGCAGTCAGCCCAACTCAGTAAAACTCCCAGAACAAGACAGAAACTCTTTGTGTTAAACATGCTCTCCTATACAGCTACAAGAAAGAAAATGTGATGCCCCTATTTATGCCCTAAATGCCCAAGTTTTCATGTAAAAGAGTATCTACATTACTCTCTAAATTTCTATTTCTACTCGTCTCTGCCAAATTCACACCTGGGCCCTTTGTTACCTCTGCACCTGCCCTTATTCATTTTACTTTAATCCTACAACTCATTTTCTCATATCACCTTTCTGCTCATTTATAGATTTTTATTTTATTACATTTCTTCTCAGTTCATCCATGGCCAGT